TTTTTGTGTATTCTGGAAGCCACCCAGAGTGGCTGCGGCAACTCAGTCAGATGTGTGGGGTACTGTTGCTGTTGTTGTTGTTGCTGTTGTTACCAGATTACGTTCATCCTGATGATACAAACACCCTTTAAAAATTATATAATATAGTGTTGTTTATAATGTTAAAGGATTTGCTATCAGATTTCTGTGAATAGGGCTACTGGCTGGAATCTTGGACTTGACAAAGAAGTGTTAGTAGCCCAGGATTTTCAGGTGTCTCTCCATAGAAGCCAGGGCTTTTTTTTTTCACCTGGAACTCGCCAGAACTCAGTTCCAGCACTTCTCAGGTGGGTCCCATTGCTGTTCTAAGAGAATGAGGGAGGTGTTCAGGCACCTCTTTTTCTAGAAAAGTAGCACTGATGGGAGCTAATTGTTAGAAGATGACTTCTTGATACAAGCCCACTCTTTATTGTTCTAAATCGGAAAACCAGTCAGAGGCAAGGGTTGTGGAGGGACATACCTTTCCATCTCCCATCTAAGGATGATGTAATCCAGTGATTTTTTAAAAAGAAAAAAATGGGTGCCGGTACTCAACACGAAGTTATTACAGTAAGGGCCACACTTTTAACATTTGCGGGGGCGGGGAAGGTGCTAGTACTTTGTACCTTTGAGTACCCCCCAGGGAAAAAGGCATCGATGTAAAGTTGCTGTGTGTCTTAGAAAGGTAACGAAAAGGGAAGACTGCAGTTTTCTGAGCACAGAACAAGAGGAAGAGAGCTCTGTAAGCATTTGGGGAGTTGCCTCTTCCTAAAGATTTGATGTGTGCCAGTGGTATTTTCAGCTGGAGTGTTTAAACTGCACAGCCACCCATGCACAGTCTGTGCATTTGTAAATAAACCCAGATTTTGCAAAATGCCAGAAGCCTCCAGCGACTTCCTTCCAAAGTAGTAGTAGTTGTTGTTTAGTCGTTTAGTCATGTCCAACTCTTCGTGACCCCATGGACCAGAGCACGGCAGGCACTCCTGTCTTCTTCCAAAGTAGTAGAATCATAGAAACATAGAATCATAGAGTTGGAATAGACCACAAGGGCCATCGAGTCCAACCCCTTGCCAAGCAGGAAACACCATCAGAGCACTCCTGACATATGGCTGTCACGCCTCTGCTTAAAGACCTCCAAAGAAGGAGACTCCACCACACTCCTTGGCAGCAAATTCCACTGTCGAACAGCTCTTACTGTCAGGAAGTTCTTCCTAATGTTTAGGTGGAATCTTCTTTCTTGTAGTTTGGATCCATTGCTCTGTGTCCGCTTCTCTGGAGCAGCAGAAAACAACCTTTCTCCCTCCTCTATATGACATTTATATATTTGAACATGGCTATCATATCACCCCTTAACCTCCTCTTCTCCAGGCTAAACATGCCCAGCTCCCTTAGCCGTTCCTCATAAGGCATCGTTAGTAGTAGATGACAAAAGTGGGGTGGAGGTGGTTATTTGACCTCCCTGCAGGTGAAGTGCTTCTGCTTACCAGGAGGGGGAGAAGCGAGGTGGCAGTGACGCTGGTGTGGTCCAAACACACCAGCAGGGCCAGTTTGACACTCCACTACTCTCCCTGCCACCTCAGCCTCCACTCTCCTTCATGGTGAGCAGTGATGATTCACTTGCTGAGAGGTCCAGAAAGTGTCTCTGTTCCACCACACCATCTGCTACTGTTCCATAGGAAACCAAATCTGGGTAAGGTCGTGTACCACTAGGACATCTCACCTGAGCAGCTAGAGACTTATCAAAGGGATTGCGAAATGTACTCCACAGCAAAGGTGACAAGAAAGAAGGGGAAATATTTGGAATTGACAGGAACTGCCAAAGCTGATCCTGGCAACTTATTAGCTGTAGGAATATTTGGGTTTTTGTTTTTTAAAGCATTTAAAAATGTGGATACTGTTTTTGCTCTTTTGTACTTTGTCACCCTGGGCTCCTTTCGCAGGGGTGGCGGCAGCAGCGAGGTGGAAGTTAAATAAATAATAATTTCACATGTTGTTCTGTTTTATAAGCACTTCCATATAGGAAAGAAGTATGAAACCTGAGCATAGATAGCTAAACATGATAATCAGACATTAATTTTGCTGTGGTTTATTTGTACAAGGAAATTGTGACTGTGGCTTCCCAGTGTTTGTACATATAGCAAAATAAACATTCATTCATTGTCGCAAAAACCAAACCTCAATTACCGCATCTGAAAGAGTATTTATGAATTGTGCCCACCAGTGCAAATTGTGACTTCTGGTGCCAAGTGCATGCACACGGAGGCACATAATTTTCTTGATTGCAGCTCATAAATGTTTTGCAAGAAAATCAGTCCACATACAAGTGCACTATTCATGAATAATGTTGTTTGCATATATTTTGTACATTTCTATGGCCCTGAAATGTCTCTGAACATTTCACTAACATTTTCCAAGTTGCTGGCACCACTAGTGGGACAATAGTAGGAGGTTTAGTAAGATCTTGATAGTTCATCTGAGCTAGGCTTCACCAAAACTTTATTATTATTATTATTATTATTATTATTATTATTATTATTATCATTATTATTATTATTATTATCATTATTATTATTATTATTAACTTTCATTTATGACAAATAAACATTTCAAACAGAATCATCTTTACATATCATATTTTTACTTTCCTCCCCCTCTTTCTCTGGTTCCTTTTATTTACTCTATTTTCCTGCATATTCCAATGTAAAACTATTTTATATTTATTTCCATCCATTTTATATATGCTTTCCATACTGGACATTTTACATTAATCCTGCTAATGTCTTAATTTGTTTATGATGAGTTTGTAAATATTCAATAAATGATTTCCATTCCCCCTTAAAGATTTGTTATCTTGATTTCTTATTCTTCCTGTAAGTTTTGCCATTTCTGCATATTACGTTAGTTTCTGTAGCCATTCTTCTTTCAATGGGACACCTTCCTCCTTCCATCTTTGGGCAAATACCATTCTTGCAGCAGTGGTTGCATACATAAATATATTTTTATATTGTTTAGGTAACTCCAATCCCATAATTCCTAAAAGAAAAGCTTCTGGTTTTTGTTTTTTGTTTTGTTTTTTTACAAAAGTTAGGGCTCACCAAATCTTAACCCCCATGATCTGCTTACACAGTCTTAGTTCAGCTCTGAAATGTGGAAACTGTGCCTCTGAGCATGTACAGTCTGCCTTTCACTTAATAGATATAACCATCCCATTATCTTTCATTTTAGCACTGCTAGATTGACAGAGAAAGTTCTAAATAATCAATCAACATGCTTTATGGCAACTATTCTCTTTACTTATGTATTCTCAATGCCTTGAATCTCTTCAAAGGCTCACATAAAATGAGGTGTGTGTGCTTCATTCAGTTTTGCTTGCTTAACCCAGAAAATATGAGAAAACCCAACATGAACAAGGGCTTTAAGAACACAGAAGAAGTAATGAAGTCAAATGATTCCATCAGACAAGAGGGATGGCACTATATAGCTGCTGCTGCTAGAAAGACTCAGGACAGCCTTCTGCAGGAGATATTATCAGCACTGCAGAATCTCTGTAAGGCAAAGAGGTGTTTCCAGGAGAAAGGCCATCTCCACAAAATTCCCACAAACAAAACAGGTAGCCTTGGCAAAGGGCGCGGTAGTGTGTCAACAATGTGAAAGGCGGGGCAAGGAAGTTACACAAGAAGCCAACAAACACCAGAGGGTTATAAGCAACAGAAGGATCAGGCTGTATTAAGACAGCAAGACCCAGCATGGCAGAACATTCTGCAGACTGTTTTGGCAGGAGGTTTAGTCACTTGCCCCATTTTTAATGGGACATGGGAACTATTACAGGCCAGGTGTGATAAGTTCTCTAGGCGCTTTGAGGATAAAATCACTTGCGTGCACACAGATCTTGATGCTCCTGTTAAAGCAGCCTCTGCTCTGGCGAGGTGCCTGGTGTTGTCCTATTGATTCTGTGGGATCAGTTCCAGTTACAGAGGCCTGAAGATGTGGATGAGGTGCTTGTGACTGTCCATCCCAGCAGCTGCCGCCTCAACTCTTGCCCATCCTGGCTTGTTTGAACAGATTGGGGTGGGAGTGGCTGAAGAAGGTAACACATCCTCGCATGAGAGAGTGGTCCCTTGAAGAAGGTGGTGGTATATCTCCTCCTGAAGAAACCCTCCCTGGACCCTGAGGCACTTGACAACTACTGCCCGGTCACTGATACCTCTTTTCTAGACCAGGCGCTCTAGAGGCTTAAAGCTGCAGACATTCCTGGAATGTCACCAGAATATGTGGGGCACAATGTTATCAGGATGCCAATGGCACCCAGGACTACTTATCTATTAAATCTGGGTCAGGAGAGGCTATGCACAATCGGAACCAGTGCCTTGACACAATGGGGGTTAGTGAATATATCATAAGACTCTGAGTTGTATGGATCGAAAGTCACACAAGGTGGTTAGGCTCACTCAAGATTTCTGACTACTGTTAGGTACATAAGAAGCTGATTTATACCACGTTCATCTAGCTCAGTATTGTCTGCTACACTGACTGTGGCTCTTTGGGATCTCAGGCAGGAGCCTTTCCCCAACCTACATGGAGATACCAGCAATTGAAGCTAGCATAAGCAAGAAGAGCCCTGCTGGATCAGGCCAAAGGCATCCTGTTCTTAGTGTCGCCAGCTGTAGGGGAAGCTACAGAAAGGCACTTCCCCCATTTGGGTGCCCCAGCAATTGGTATTCAGAGGTATACTCTCTCTGGTACCCGGAGCTTTGGCATGCAAATTATATGCTCTGCCACTGATTCATGACCCTTCCCTGTCAGAAGAGTCTATCCAGAGCTGATTTCATTGTTGTACAAACGTCTACACAGCTAAAAGGTCTGCTAATGTTTTCATGCATACACTTTCACCTTCCCATTTGATTTTGAAAGACATTTTAAAAAACCACAGCACTCTTTGCCTCCCCAGCAGATTTTGCACAAAATCACCCCCTTGCAAACAGTTGGGTAGATCAGGATTTAATTTCATGACCCTGAGAGCAAAACAAAAACAAACACATGGTACTGTTGTATAGTGTAGTATTCCTGCAAAAAGGCCTTTTTGGTCCTGCCAAAGCATACATCAGTATTAACAGGGACTAGAGGCAAGAATTGCAGAGCACTTCTAATTTTTTTCAGAAACCTAAAAAGGCATGATTGTATTCATTTTCATGTAGCAATATATTTAATTACATTACAATAACAAATTTATTTGGCAATCCAAAGCAGTGCAATGCTCCTTTCAGAATGCTAAATTTAAACCACGAAATCTTGCCTAACAGTCCCAGCAGTTGCAGAGTAAACGATGACTTGAGCCACTAAAACTGTCATATCCAGATACAATTTGGGCAAGCAAGGCAGGGGACACCACACTTGCCGCACCCATCCTGACCATCACATCAGCAAGGTGGTACCAGTTTCATTTAGGCCCTGCGCTCGAGTGCCGCTCCCTACATGTAAACCTATGGACTGTTATGCCTAACAGAAGCAGGCAGATTTAATAGCCAGCTGGAAATATATGTGTCACCAAAACTGCAGCTTGAGATGCATACAGACGAGAGGTTCCTGGGAACAATAAAAATGCAATTTACAAACCTCAATAATTGTACTGAAAGCTGCGGCTTTGGCTTGATAACTGAGGGCAAAAAGTATTCATTACTTCAGGAAATTGTGGCAGAAATAAATCAAGTGAGCATCTTTTATTAGCCCTAGCAATCTTGCTATAAAAATTATTTGATCCGTTGCCTTTAGAAGTTAGTTTGGCAAGTGGAATTAAAAAATGCTGTTGCTGCCGACCCCTTTAATCTCTTCCATATCCAGCTGTAGGTAACGAAAGGGTGGACTGTGCAATATTATCGAGATGGGAGATATATTCTTAGCAAAGCTTCTTCTTCTAAAATCACTTAAGGAAGGGAATGCGGTCCATTATATGCTATGTAATAACTTACCATGGCAGACACGGAAACATGTGGGAGGTGGTCATTTGTGTCATCTATTCATGCGGCAAGGATAATTTTAGCATTCTTTTGCTTCTACAAATTTCTGATCTGGTTCAGATTAAGGTAACATTTTCTCTCCACCTGTTGGCTAAAAGGTTAGGGTTGGGTTGGCATCCATCTTTCTCAGAAGACAATGGAGGAGTGTGCCTCTGGGGGTGAAGTCAGATTGTTAGAAGGTTACAGCACCTGCTGTGGCTGTAGAAACCAATATGGGAGAGTCATGTTTTGTTGCTGTTGGTGCAGATGTAGGCATCTAGTTATGCTGCTGCAGATGCACCATGGCATTTATTCTCTCTGCGCTCCTTCCAGTGGTCATTTCTCCTCTGGTCACTGCTATGGATAAACAAGTTGACTGTCTGTCTCCAGGCACTGTGGTCGTCTGCAAGAGATTACTACATGATGGGGTTGATGTTGTCAGTCTTCAAGTCACATTTGCAGACATCTCTGTGGTGCAGAGTTCGTCTGCCAACATGCCAGTAGAGCGCGTCCTCTCTTTAGCTTTAAAAAGGAACAAATAACAATGCATGGAAAACCAGAACTGCTGTTTGGTCCAATAGAGTGCTAAAGAGTGGTTCCCCCAGGGGGAAGCAGCAGGACAAGAGGAAGTGTGTACAATAATAATAATAATAAATTTTATTTATATTTACAAGCCCAAAATGTAGGACCACCTTTCTAGTTAGATTACATTCAATGCACATTGAAAGCACATGACTTCCCCCAAAGAATCCTGGGAGCTGTAATTCAACATTTCACTATTCAGTGGGGCTCTCACCTGTGGACAAGCAGCAGCTGTGTCAAGTGTATACACCTCAGTCTAGCCACAGCTTGCATATTCAAATCAGGTGGAAGCTGGCTTGAGGGGGAAATGCATCAAACAGCAGAATTTCTCGAGCGGCTACAGGATGCATATGGATCCTGGCTAACATCCTCACGTGTACCCAGCTTCAAACACCAGCAGTGGGAGCGCCCAAGAGCCCGAGTAAACGGCAATGTGTACACAGCCTTAGAGAAAGCCGGTTTTTAAACAAGTAAGCGTAGCAATAAGAGTGGGTGAATGGTCTGTATATATATTCACCTAAATATGTCCTCTCCCTCTGCGGTTCTTGCTCTACCAGATATCGCTGATGGCAACTGCAGGCGCTTTAATTCTCCTTATCAGAGCATTCTATTAAAGCGTGCATAGGCAAGGTTACTACTACGAACACCCCTGAAAATATTTTCAAGGCAGCTGCACGAGCAAATAAGCGGTTCTGCACGGGCCACGATGCCCGCCGCATTGGATACCATGCTCGATCAACGAGCTGCTGCTTTAGCCCGGTACGATGGTGATGCAGCGTCCAACCTGCCACTGGCCACGCGGCCGCTGCTGGGAATCAATGGCAACGAGTGTAGGAATGTTTCATTTCTGACTTGCGCGCGCGCGGGGGGGGGGAGTGCGCCTCGCTTTTATCTTCTTCGCGTGGGATGGAACCCGAGATGCGCGCTTTGCGGGCGCAACCACTTGGGAAAGCGAGGCGGGGGTGGGGAGAGCCTCGCGGCGGTTCCTGGAAGCCGCGCTCGGCTTCGGGAGAGGCGCGCGGGGCTTCCGCCTCAGGTGTGTCCTCGCCTACAACTCCCAGGCACCTCGGCTGTGGGTGGCCTTTCCTTCTCCTCCACTCCACCCCGCCGCGCTGCCGGCCAGCTGGGAGAGCGCCAGAGCTGCTCCTTCCCTCAGTAGAGGCGGCGGCGGCAGCAGCAGCAGGTGGCTTCACCCGCCCGGGAAAGAGCGCGCGACGCCGCCGCCGACTCTCTCTCTTCCCGCGCTGCGTCCGTCCGCGCTGAGGCGGGCATGGCTGAGCCCGAGCTGAGCCAGGCTGCCGTGCTGAGCTTCCTGCGGGAGCGCGGCGGCAAGGTGCGCAATTCGGAGCTGCTGAGCCGCTTCAAGCCGCTCCTGGAAGCGCCGGGCGGGGAGCCCGAAGCCCGAGCCGCCCTCCGCGAGCAGTTTAAGCACTTCGTCAACACCGTGGCCGTCGTGAAGGAGGAAGACGGAGCGAAGTTCGTGGTGCTGAGGAAGAATTGGCGCCTGGAGGAGGCGGAAGTGAGCGCAGCGCCCGCTGGGGGGCGCTCTGGCGAGGAGGAGGAGGAAGAGGAAGAGGAAGGAGAGGAAGACTCGGCCACTTTGGCGCCTGCCTGCCATGCCGGCCCAGAGGGTCCAGAGCAGGAAAGCGGGCCTGAGTCGAGCCCAGCAATGCCTGTGTCCCAGTTGAAGAGCCTGTTTCAAAAGGAGGGCATGGAGGCACCCAAAGCCCCCGGGGACCAAGACAAGTTGGCTCCCAAAGCTGCCCCCCAGAAACCCTGCATGCTGCCTGTGCGCTGTGTGCTGCCTGCCAGCGGGGCCAAGGAGCCCAAGGACCCGAGCCCTGAGCCGAAGCAGCCCGAAGTCAAAGACTGGCTCCAAGTGGGGCTCCCGGCCATCACCCCCTCTACGTCGCCTTACATGAAGAGGCGTCAGCTGGAAGAGATGGGGTCTAGCTCCCCTTACCTGAGGAGGGTGCAGAAGTCTCAGAAGGTGGGCGAGGAAGCGGACTGTCCCGCTACGACCGTCCCTTTGGAAGCCGCTGAGCACGAGTGGCTGGTGAAGGCCACAGCCGGCCAGTGGTCCCAGCAGCTTCACGGCCTGCTGCTGAGCGACAAGAACCTGGCCAGCAAGAGGGACTTCATGACCGGCTTCACCGTTCTGCACTGGGCGGCCAAGAGCGGGAACTGCGAGATGGTGGGTAAAGTCATCGAGGTGGCCGAGAAAGGTGGCGCTCATGTCAACGTGAACTCCAAGTCCTACGGCGGTTATACCCCGCTCCACATCGCCGCCATACATGGGCAAGAGGAAGTCATCGCCCAGTTGGTCAGGGATTACGACGCCAACGTTCACCTGAGAGACTACAGTGGGAAGAAACCCTTTCAATATTTGAAAGAGGGCTCCTCTTTTGCAGTCAGACACCTCTTGCGGGACCCCCACCTTCACACGGTCTCTGGACACAATGCCTCCATCAAGAAGAACCCCAAAGTGGCGGCTTCCATTTTGAGTTCCACTAGTGCTGTCCTGGGGCTTTTGTCTGATGACACTGCTTTCTATGAGCTGACCAAAGGCTTAAAGAAACCAGCTACGCTCAATAAGTTATTTAATGCAGCCTCAACCCCAAGGAGGAAGCTGAAGTCCAGAGGGACTTTCTCGTCCTATTCTTCCTTATCTGAGTCAGTGGAAGATGACCAAGAGGAAGCAACGACAAAACGCAGACCAGTTTCAGAGTTGTTTTTTGGTCACTAGGCTCTGTCTTGCTGAAATCAAAATAATATGAATACTGAAGCAGTCATGTGTTGCTTATTCTTTCACAGAAATACTTCTGCTTTTGTGTTTTTAAATGTGTTTCTCATTAGCATGTCTAATCCAGGGACTGAATGGATTCTCTATAGGGTTGTATCTGAATACCAGTTGAATTCAGTATTCCTGAATGTGATCTTTGCCTCATACATTTCACTGAAAATAGTTTTGCTCAGCAAAAATTACCCTTACTAAATCCATGTGACATTTCATGCAGGGCTTGGTTTGTTTTCTTTTGTTTTAGTGAGAGTTTAATGTGAGACCCTTATTTTGTTAGGTGATGAAAGGTTCATTAAAACCAAATGAATTAAGTAACAGTGCAGTCCCAGACACGGAAGTAATACGCAAGCCAATGGGACGTATTCCCAGGTGAGTTTGTATAGGATTAAGACTCTTTCTTGGGAGTAAGGAAGTCCCATGGAAAACAATTGACTTCCTTTTGAGGAAGCATGAATAGGATTGAGTTGCATGTCTGAAAAGGACAGGAATAAAAATGTCAATTTCAGATAGATGCCACTGCATATAAAGCAGTACATCTTGAAACAAACACTATGTTCGGTTCACGGCATGCACATTTTTTAAAGAACAAAATGTTTCCTTTATAGCCTCTAAAAACTTTTGATCTGGGAATGAAAATCATTTCAGGGAGGTTCTTTGCATCCCATCCATGCCTGTCAGCACAGATTAATGAGTTAATTAAAGGTAGTGCTGCCTTCCTAATGCTGTGCCATATTTAGTACAGTATCAAAAACATTGAACGTGTTCTGTAATAGTTTGCATTGGATGCAATTCTTATGAAATCCACCTTACAGTTCAGTGAATCTGTGATCCCTATGGTTAAAAAGGAAGGAACAGTTATGCCGTAGTAAAGCTTTATTTTGGCTTTTAAAGCAGATGCCAAAAATGCAAAATGTCAATTTTTTTAAATTACAGTTTTAATTATGTTTGAAAAGGGATACATAATTTTAGTGGCATGCTGGAGAGAAGGGCAGTTCATTATATTTTATACTTTCTATTAAAAATGCCTCCTAGTAAGAATTTTACTGCATGCAGAAAACAAAATATACAGTGAATTTGGAGAATCAGCTCTAGCCAACTTAAAAAGAAAAGAGAAGAAAAGGCCCTAAGCGTCTCTACCTCAGTGCTGTATTTATATTATCAACTTAAACTGCAATCCCAGCCCCACTTACCTGGGAGTAAGCACCATTGAACTCAATAGGACTCAATTCTGAGTAGGCATGGCTGAGATTGCAGGTGGAGATATGTCTTGTTTTATTCAGAGAATATGTATAATAGTTTTTGCAAACTAATGAAAAGCTGTGTGATTCTAAATGCCATAACAGTTTGACAAAATATACAAACCTCTTGTCCTCTGAGTATAACTTTTCAAAAATGTAACAAAAGGAAAAATCTATTTAGGGTACATATTTTTATATGAGGAATAGACTAATGGAAATATAGCTCTTTAAGATAGTTATTTTTATATTGTATATTATGTAAATACTGACATGTTTTGGTGTCTTTCTGGTGATGAACTTTTATGTAAACTAAGGCTGGGCATGTTAGGTGCACCATCAGCCATCATTAAACACTCAAAAGAAGTGTGCATCTCAATGACATAACTAACTTAAAATATGTCAAGTGGTAAGGCTCCGTGGGTAGTTTTTAAAAAGACATTGTGGCTCTGTGAAAATTCATTTTTGGTATGATACTCATCTTGATTGAATAATGCTCTGCATGAACTAAAAGCCTTTTGTAAATAAGGGTAATTATTGTCCCACCATTTTAAAAAATTGTATGGATTGATTTTAATACAATTGACTATTTAGTGGCGTTGCATGGGGACTTCTAACCTAATTCTACGGCGAGGTTTATGGATCACTTTAAATCACAGTTACACTTAACTCCAAACAAACATTGAGCTCATAGGTTTGTTCCTGGCTTGCCGCTCATGGATTGTTTGCAAGAGACAAACCACAATTCCAGGTTCAAACATAATGCTATGCCAAACCATTGTTTACTCTGCAGGAGCAGGGGAAAAGCAAAGTAGCTGTGATTTTAGGTCTGTGTACCAGCTTCATCCAAGCGATACATCCAGTCCCTCCTCCAAAAGTTGCAGTTTTGGGACAATTTAAATTCTGTTATTGAAGAAGAGTAGGTTCACTTCAGAAAGGATTACTGTATGATTGGTCAGTCTCATGTGTCACACATTTAATCTCTGAATACACCAAGGGCCCAAACAGGCGATGGCTGTAACCTTTATTGATTTTTACGTCAGACTTTGGCCTAGTAAACAAAGGCCCCGTTGTGGCACAAGTTGGCTCTTGGAATGCTGTATCTGCCTTGCTTTAATAAACTCAATACAGTACTACTATCTGGCTACCTATGTGTGCATATGCATAATAGGTAAAGGTAAAGGTACCCCTGCCCGTACGGGCCAGTCTTGCCAGACTCTAGGGTTGTGCGCTCATCTCACTCTAGAGGCCGGGAGCTAGCGCTGTCCGCAGACACTTCCGGGTCACGTGGCCAGCGTGACAAGCTGCATCTGGTGAGCCAGTGCAGCACACGGAACGCCATTTACCTTCCCGCTGGTAAGCGGTCCCTATTTATCTACTTGCACCCGGGAGTGCTTTCGAACTGCTAGGTTGGCAGGCGCTGGGGCCAAGCAAGGGGAGCGCACCCCGCCACGGGGATTCGAACCGCCGACCTTTCGATCGGCAAGCCCTAGGCGCTGAGGCTTTTACCCACAGCGCCACCCGCGTCCTCATATGCATAATAGTCTTTGCTAAAGTATTCCACAAGTTGTTGTAGGACTTTATCTGCTCAAGAGATGGGTAGCTAACAAATTGTTTCTGTTCCCATTCTTAGCAAATAAAAATAGCAAGCTCAATCCAGCGTAGAGCTAGGGCCAAACATTGCCAGACGTGGGTGTTTAAATCTGGGCCGGCCCCATTCACACAGAACGAGGGGAGTGAGTGCAGGTTCAGTTTTAACAGCCATTGGGCAGATGAATGAGGATTGCAAAACAACCTGCAGCTGAGCTCATTTCTTATATTAAAGGTTGGCTAAGGAGAAAAGTACTCAGGGATTTCGAATATGAGGTTTACCAGCCCCTGGCCATGTGCTCACTTTGCTGTTAAAAGTGGACCTTCTCCAAACCCCTTTCTTTGTGAAGCAGGTGTTTGTAAAAGGAATATACCTGCATACTAAAGGAAATGCAAAGACTGTTTATCCAGTGTGACTGATTTATTAATCAAAGATGAAAATGAGTGCCATGCATATGTAACATGCGTATTTCATTTGCAATATTTTATAGGTATTTTATTTTATAGGTAATATCCAACTAAAGTCATTCCCAAAGAAGCCTTATTGAAATGAATGGATGGATATCAACGAATGTATACACTGAGTGGATATTGCCTTAGGCAAACTTTCCAAGCAACTCTGTAGTAGTTTTCCTTAAAGAAACTAGGGGTTTCTTAGAACAATGGTTATTGCCAACATTAGTCCTACTCAGAGTAGACCCATTGAAATTAGTGGACATGACTAACCTAGGCTCATTAATTTCAATCAAGCTACTCTGAATCTATCTTCATTCAGTGCAGCCCCAAACTATGTGACCAGCAGAACTATATTATCCATGTCAGCTGACACTTTTGGCATCACTGCATTTATACACCAAGTTACAGCATGCTGAGTTTTTTTTACTAATCACATACCCATGGAAGTCATGAGAGCCTTACCAGGAAAAGAGAGAGAAAGTCAACCACTGAATAACAAATAGCATTTGGATTACCTTTCAGAACACTTTTATTTTTGCTTCATTGGTTTTTTCCCATTTCCCTTACTCCACTGAAATTTTTTATTAAAAAGTAAAAAAATAAAAATAAAAATAAAACATCCACTTGGATTATGTTGTAAAGTGTGGCAGGGACTTAGCAGTACAGAGAATATTCCCCCCCCTAAAGACTTTGCAACTGTATGAATCAATGATGTTATCAGATGGTTCATTACCCATTTCTAGTGAACAATGACATTAATTCACTTTAGTTATCTAAGCTGTAGTTAATTAACATAGTGAATGAGCAGTAAATAACAGCATTCTCATTATACTAGAAGTAATTGTTCTGCACAAGCAAATTATATATAACTGCCGCAATGGGAAGCAAAAAAGCCCCCCTTTATTCACAATGTCTCATGTGTTTTACTTTAGATTATAAAAGGAGCATAGTCATGAATCAGTTTGCTCCTTCTGAGCAAAGAAAATATGTTATCAAATTGATATGGTACATATATTCTATGGTTGCAAGAAAGTAAAACATCTCATATAAGGTGTTGGCTGAATATTATGAAATGAAGTGCTCCCTTGTCTACCTAATTTTGAATGGTTTGATAGGACTTACTTCACCCTTGTAAAGGTATAGAAGATTAATGAGTCAGTGGGTAATTCAAAGGAGCAGAGTCCCAACAGAGCTTCCTTTTTATTATAAAAATGTGTGGGATTAATCTTTTGGTTCTTGCATTGACAAAGTCCTCATCAAAGCAACTAGTCATTTCCTTCAGTGTAAAGCATACAAAGAATTCAGCCTATGATTATTGAAATGTATGAGAAAATACTTGTCCTATTACCCAAGGTAATTGTTTTGTCATGCTGATAATAACATAAACTCTCCCACTGCAGGTTAGTAATGTAACAATCCTATGCTCATATTACATCAGGACATATTGCACTGGAGGTACAATACTGCTTACACCAGCAGAATACCACCCCCCCCCCATATCCAAAGTGTGTGCACAGCTTCAGAAGGAACGAGAAAAACACAGAACTAGAAAATGGAAAAATTGAATTGAAATTTCCCGCAGAGTCCAAACCTCTTGTGGCAACCAGTCAGGACTGTATGAATAATACCCACAAGCTGCCCACGCATGAAGCTCCAGGGAGGGGCCCCCAGCACGTACCCTTACATCACAACCACACAAGGATGCCACAGTGCCCCACTCCAGCCATCTCAGTGACTCGGCAACAACCATTCTGAATTTGTAGGCAGAGCACGTCTTGTCACCAGACCATAAACAGGCTTTTCCTGAGGCCTAACTTTGCAAGGTGCCCACACCCAGCTACCACAGACTAAAGTTCAGTTAGGTGTAGGTGTTTACCTTTGTCCTCTAAAGAAATGAAAATATGGTTGTGCAGAATTGAAATGAAGTCTAAATGTGCAACTTCTGGTCTTGGCTTAAAGATTCTATCACTAGATGTGTAAGACTCCTTAAGCTACTGTGGCCCATTTATGGACTAAGGAGTGAGAGCTGGACCATAAAGAAGGCTGATCGCCGAAGAACTGATGCTTTTGAATTGTGGTGCTGGAGGAGACTCTCAAGAGTCCCATGGACTGCAAGAAGATCAGACCTATCCATTCTGAAGGAAATCAGCCCTGAGTGCTCACTGGAAGGACAGATCATGAAGCTGAGACTCCAATACTTTGGCCACCTCATGAGAAGAGAAGACTCCCTTGAAAAGACCCTGATGCTGGGAAAGATGGAGGGCACAAGGAGAAGGGGACGGCAGAGGACGAGATGGTTGGACACTGTTCTCGAAGCTACCAGCATGAGTCTGACCAAACTGCGGGAGGCAGTGGAAGACAGGAGTGCCTGGCGTGCTCTGGTCACGAAGAGTCGGACATGACTAAACGACTAAACAACAACAAAGGATTTCTCAACATAATGAGGAAGGAAGTGTGGCAGGGATTCAGGTTTGGGGTTTAGTCTTCCAAGGGATTAGGAACGTGGTGCATTCTGTTGACTAGTATCTCTTTTAAAAACTGCTTTAGAAGGGAAACTAACTTTAATGCAAGCATAAACATCCTTTTGCTTGTAAATGCTCAACCCTGAATTGTAACCACACATTTCACAGATGAACATGGTTTAGTGTTTATGATTTATTAGTGTAGCTTTCAACATACTTGTTTTAAATTTAGTTTTCTTTTAAAAATCTGATGGGGTGGAATTCAACATTGTGATCTTCCAGCTGCTCCTCTACATTGCAGCTTGACAGATAGAGCGATTCCCCTCCTCCCCTCAAGTGCTGTTCTGGGGGTTTTAATAATCCCCAAAACTAATTCTAGGGGGTACAGGAAGTGTGCAGGGGATAGGAGAAGGGGGGGCAAAGCCCTGTTGTGCAAGCAGAAGTCCTTACACAGAGCTTCCATGGATGGGGCTGGTTAGGTGACTCCTGCTCAGTGTGTTTAAAAAGATACTGCAACAGAAGTTTTTAAAAAATTAAGAACTAATATACATTTTTTTTTAAAGCAACTCAGATTTTAAAAAATATTTGTGTTTCAATCAGATCGTCTGTGCAACCCTTATGAGTATTTTGTAAACACACAAAGAATCATGTTGCACAACTTCTGAAAATGATGGCAGCTTGCCATTTCCCCTTCAGTTGTTTCTACCCTGGCTCTGCAGGTACTCTGAGATCTGGTTACCTACTTTCTGCACTTCGTTGAAGATGAAAAATAGCTGTATATGATTGTGGACCCCTGTTTTGAATAATGGGAGAGAAAAACACGAAAGATTGCAGTGCTACTTCTATGAAAACATTGTTTTAATTCACCATGTGCATAGATTTTGTTTTCTCTGGCCCTCGCTCTATGTATTGCTTTTCTGGCTACATTGACCTACATTCCCTTGGTCTGCTTTGTTGTTTGATTTGCATGTGAATCTAAGTAAAGCCGGGCACCGTGACAGCAATTGATGTTTCCAGGGCCAATGCAGTAATGAAGAAACCTCTAAATGAGGATCTTCACAGGATGCCCTTGGTGCAGGCCATTGGCTAGGCACAATGTAGTAATTGTCTGCAGTGAAAACAGATGAGCATGTGCATCCTCTGCCCCCATTTAGCAGGGACAGACCCTGCTTATGATGCTGAGGTTAGTTACTGCTTCCGTTTCCTGGGTCCTGCCCCTGATTAATCACTGGCCCTACTTTTCACTTTGTGGGATGCCTTCTTATAATGGCTAAAGTTATTGTTTGTCTTTTTCTCTTAAGTGCACCTGCGAGTTTGCAGTCTATGATCCACGCAACTGAAATTTTAGAGGAGATATGAGACCAAAGGTTGGTTTGTATAATAGAGAGCAGCAGAACTGCCAGTAGTATAAGAGAGAACCCAAAGAAAAACGAAACGTGAGGCATATGTTGTAGAGTGTGAAGATAGAAAACAGTCTCTGAAGCTGTACCCACAGTTTGCCAGTGGCTAAGCAGAAGATACAGTATTCAAAGTGAAACCAGATGGTTGTTCTTCTGTCCCCCAAGCAGATGTGTTTTATATTGCTCTGATACAGAACAATACTCTGAATAGGTAATTTGAACATTCAAAATCCACATTGAAATATGTTGTTGTTGTTGTTTAGTCGTTTAGTTGTGTCCGACTCTTCGTGACCCCATGGACCAGAGCACGCCAGGCACCTCTGTCCTCCACTACCTCCCGCAGTTTGGTCAAACTCATGCTGGTAACCTCGAAAACACTATCCAACCATCTCATCCTCTGTCGCCCCCTTCTCCTTGTGCCCTCCATCTTTCCCAGCATCAGGGTCTTCTCCAGGGAGCCTTCTCTTCTCATGAGGTGGCCAAAGTACTGGAGCCTCAGCTTCACGATCTGCCCTTCCAGTGAGCACTCAGGGCTGATTTCCTTAAGAATGGATAGGTTTGATCTTCTTGCAGTCCATGGGACTCTCAAGAGTCTCCTCCAGCACCATAAGGAAGATGGTTACCAGGCGACCTGTGTTCCTGTTCATTCTGCCACCCAGTTGCAACCTACTGCTGACCAACTGCTCTCCCTCTTTATGATTCTTTAGCTGGGGTTTGGGCCAGACAGCCTTTCCAACTTTTCCCTGTAAAGTAGAACACATGGCCTGCTGGGTGTGTGCATGGGGAATCTGAATGGAGCCAGGATGCCACATGAGAAGGGGTTTCAATGCAAGGGAGCATCCCATGTCACAGTGTGGTTCACGACTCCTTTATTTCCTTTGAGTCATGAAGCTTTAGAGATCCAGATGAAGAAGAGCCCAGACACAATGGAATGCACTCCCCTCAATTTTTGGGTGTGTTGAGAGCACAGTCCCCTCCAAAGCACCTATGCTTTGATTTGCATGGGAGTGTGTCCGCGGAAGACCTCTGTGGGCCTGCACTTGGAACCAGAAGTCACAATTTGCACTGGTGGGTGCAATTCA